ATAAAGAACAAAATATTTACCAAGTAAAATGTCTAATATTACAAAAAAAAGAAAACTCATACTACAGATTCTATGCAGCTTTAGAAATAAAGTGACACTAAACTTAGGAGTTAAAGTGGTATTAAAGGCTCAATTGTTTTTACATATATCTACAGCTAGCAAGCAGTAGATAAATGCAAAAAAAAAAAAAAAGGAGGTTGCCAAAAAAAGGAAAAAAAAAAAAAAAAAACTTTCCTGTGCCTGCGCCGCTTGCTCCTGGCTGTAGAATCCAGCTTCCCGAACAGCCGTGCAGGAGGAAGTGTGTGCAGGCGATATCACCAGTCGGGGGAGAGGAGAAGAGACACAGTGTAGGAGAATGCACGCTGGACAGACTGCGTAGGATACAGAAGACACAGCAGTCTGCGCTGGATCAGGGAGCTGCACCAGCACTGGAGGTACTTTTGGAAACCAGTGGAAGGAAGATGATTTATGGAACAAGATACATCTCATAAAGCAATTACTATAAAAATGCACTCCAAGCTCACTCCTGGGATAGACTACAATCAATACAAATCAGTTAACTAAACATGAGCTTGTAGTCCATCACAGGAGCAATCTTGGAGCGGTGACTACTTTACAACACACACAGGGGCCATTTCATAGACAAAATCCATATCTGATAAATAAGGAACCACAAATGAGAGGTGGGACAGTACTGACTTGTTTCTAAGGGGCCGGTCACACATGATACTGTGCATTTAAACTTAGATGACGGGATCCGCCCAGCTGCGTGAGTGACAGCTGGCTCTGCCTATCTAGAGGCAGAGCCAGCTGTACCCGCCCCCTCCCCGTCCGTTCCGCCAGTCAGCGCTGGCAGATCGGAGCGGGGAGAGGGGAATCCAGGTCCTCCCCCTGTCACGGCAGAGAGCCGTGACAGGATCGAGAGGCGAGCGAACCTGGTATGTGTTCGCTCACCTCCCGATCTACTGAGCCGACCTGTGACAGTCTCATTGTCACAGGTCGGCTAGAACTATGAGGTGAGTGAAAAGCACTCGCCTCATAGTTCTCCTTTAAGCAAGCCATACTCTATAAATCAGATTGTACAATCTCGGTTCAATCTTCTTTGGAGTTACAAAAACTGTGTGAAATAGGGGCAAACCTAAACAATCCATTCAACGTGTATAATTTCAGGCAAGACCTAGAACTACCGTACATACTAGATGGAAAATCTAAATCAGATTGTACAATGACAATGGCCTAAAAGGTGACTATACACCAGGGGTAATGAATTCAAATTGAGGGAGGTCTGGTGCGTCAAATTTTTATTGAACTGAGGTCCAAATCACGGTGCGGGCAGAACAGTTGCAGTGCTAATGCGCCGATCCCTCAACTTTACAACTTTATTAAAATGTCACAAGTGACATTTCATTAGGCTCTATGGGCACAGTGCAATGCGGTTGTGGCCTGTATGCATTACTTGTTTTCAGTACACACAACCGCAACGTGGTGGTGTGAACTGAGCACAATCATAACAAAGCAAAGTTGCCTTGTCTAGCCCTGGGACTGTGCTAGAAAAAGCAGTCAGAGCAGCTCTAATGCAGCTGGTGTGAATGCAATGAATATAAGGGGGAACTCCGATAGAGGCAACTAATAATTAGTTGTCCTTATCAGAGTGCCCATTTACATTGTTCCCATATACACGTTTTAAATGGTAGGCCAGGGGAGGGAGCCAGGAGAACAGCGCAAGCTGCAGTAGAGCGCAGAACAACATAGTCTTCCATCCTCCTGTATTGCTAGCGGTAGGGAACTGAGATATCACTGCTTGATAGGACCACCGCGCTCCTAGCAATCAATGACTGTATAAGAGGTGGACATCTGTCGTCAGGGCCACACTAAGGGTCGTGGAGCCCCGTGCAGCCTACCTTGCAAGGCCCCTGTTTCCCCCCCTGCCCGTTTACATACATTTTCTTCACTTAACCTTTGCCATCGCAAAGGGGTTAACAATCCCCCATGTGACAGCATTTGGGGGTGACCGTTTCTCTTTATGGCCCTCCAATACAATTCACCTGTAGTTAACAAGTTAAGCAGGCGGCCATGACTGACATCACTGGTTGCTAGGATGGCAACAGCCCT